AAACTAATGGTACTAATTTCTTTTAATGGCAACAGTAACTGAAAACTTCATTGACATGTCACCTTGCATGTCAGTCTATTGCTGTCAAAGTGTAAACAAAGTTTATTTTAAATGTGCGCAATTGGTTTTATGAATTAAATTGCTAAAATATTTTTATAGTCGTGAAAGAAAAGTGGTTCACAATGTGTTAAAGTATTTGTCGAAGAGAAATACTAAGGGTTATTTTCATAGTGGACTGTACTATACGATAAACATGTCAGTCAATTTGACAACCTTTGTCGGAAACATTATTCAATGAAAATATTGTCCGAACCGTTAGTATTTCTCTTCGACAAATACATTAACACATTGTAAACCACTTTTCATTCACGACTATAAAAATATTTTAGCAATTTAATTCACAAAATCAATTGCACACATTTAAAATAAAGTTTGTTTATACTTTGACAACAATAGACTGACATGCAAGGTGACATGTCAATGAAGTTTTCAGTTACTGTTGCCATTAAAAGAAATTAGTATAGTTCCAAAATACTGGACTGTCCTGTCGATGACATTGACAGTGGGGCGCCACCGTCAATACCGGATCGCTGGTTCAGATTTTTGCCATGTTGGAAACCATATAGTTGAACGATGGTAGCGCCCCCCTGTCATTGAGTTTGGCGGGACAGTTCAGCGTGGGTCATCTATACCATTAGTTTTCCGCAACATGGCGAGGGTTTTTATGTTCCTGGTCAGGCTATACAACATTATTACCAGGAAGTGACATTTATTTTTGTAACTGACCACTAGTCTAATCCAATAATATTATTTCACTAGCTCATTGATTATAAATCGCTCTTCAAATGTAGAGCGCTGACAATGGATGACGAACTGTCTATTATATCCTCAGAATACANTGAATTGGAAATTTTAATGTGCTACTTACGGATAAAACATGATCCCATGCACTTTCTTCGTAATTCCAGTAGCATTCTTACATGTTGGAACGGCACAAGACGGCATAATTTAATTATAAAGTGTCAATCTGACGGATATGTAAACAATGCGCGCGCCGGCCATTGACTGATTGCTCTAAAGTCAAATTAGTGCGATTTGGAGTACTTTATATGAATACACTTACGCCCGTTGACGGTTTCTGGTTTGTTCCGTATTCTGAGATTATATCTATTATTTTGTAACTATTCGCGCTAATTGAAGTACAGCCATATTGGATATTGTGAATTTGTAATTCAAAATGACCGAAAAATATACTGGCTGAAAATAAAGTTAAGGAAATCCCTATACAAATTTCAAAATAAAAAAAACTGACTGACAAAAATTAGCAAAAAGATTTAAACCAAATGGAGGCAAACAAATCATTTCGATTACTTAAAAAATATTAATAAGAGTAGATAGAGGTTCAGCCTATTTATTATGTATCTATTTACTCGTAGCTTTAAAATAACAGTCATTTGTGACTCTGCATTTTAAAATAAAAACTTATGAAGGTACAATTTTACGAAGGATATATTAATATCTTTGTTTTTGTATCACATTCTGATTTGTATTTAAATAGGTATTGTGTTATTTTCTTTAAATAGGTATCAGTAAAGTGGAAAATGCATTTTGTCAATGTATGTGATCGTATCTAAATATGTTTTTAAATATTTCGTGATTGAAATACAATCGGAAAACTCGTGTAAAGATTGATCAAGTGACTAAAATATTTTTCTAATGATCACCGTCATCATTAGTTCAAACAGTATTTATTAATCTTTTGTGTATAGTCAATAAAGTATACCCCATCAAACTACCCATGGAGAGTAGGTATACTAGTGCAAAGCCATTAAGCATTTAACATGTTTTTCCTAGGATCGCAAAATGTTTTTGTGATCCAAAGATCATAGTGCAAGCGCACATTATAATTGTCTGGGGTCAGGTGGGGTAATGTTTAGTTGAAAAACTAATCACGTCTCGCAAGTAGTCATTAAATAGTGCCTAATCATAAATGTATTATAGTTAATTACTTGTATTATGAAGGCACGTTTCTCTACGGATAGAGATGGCGCGAACTTTATATAGGGTGTCAATCGTTACTTTAGATTAGCCCAAAGGGGGTAAAAAAGTACGATCTGCATTTTTTAGACTAAAAAGTAAAAAAATATAATGTGGCCAATTAATTATAACATCATCATCTTCAACTTTTCATTATCTTATGCTATTAAATTCAGTTACAGTCTCATTACATTACATTTCCGGTATAATATCATTATCTTCAGATTTTAAAAGTGGGAACCAAATAAGTATGCGTTAAGTATAACTCTTGTAAACTGGGTAGATCGTTGCAGAATTCAGTAAGTACTTACTAACTCTTCCACCAATGAACTTGAATCATTATAAAAAAAGTTATGTACTAAAATAAAAATCATCTTAAGCTGTTATGTAAAATAATTAAAAATACTTTCTCATACCCCTTTAATCACTTCATAATAAAATTGTGTCGATATAAGAATCTCTGTAACTTTTGACAACATTTATTAAAAAAACTTAAAGGTTGATTGGCCCTTGTTGTTATGTAACTGTACTTTTTTTTTCACTATTTTTTTACCGTTAAAGCAATAAACGTAATGTTGTTAACCATAATCAAAAACACAATTAATACAATTTGCATGTAAGTAATAAAATTTGAGTGTTCACATCCTTTGAATTGAAAAAAAAACCGAAATCTGGTTTAACCCGGTTAGTTTAGAGGCAGGTATATCACTAATCATTTGTTACATACGTCATGATGACGTACTCGTAGATGACGTTTAATATCAGACAGTAGTTGGCATTTATAAGTACTACTGCTACAAATAAGTATAATTGGATTTTTTTCTTTATTTTGATCGTAGCGACGGTTTTTACGAATTGCAATAATAATTTATTGTGGCATACAAGTAGATCGTCGTAATCAAAGTTACGCGTAAAAAAAAACTTGCGCTTCAAAGAAAAAAAATGGCTATAAAATATAAGTAATTTAACCGGACCTATTCTCAAGTTTTTTATTTCTTTAGAACCAACACGAGTTGAATAATATTTTGATGATGATGAAATGATGACGTACTTACTAATCGTCACCCTGTATTATAACAGATGAGAATTGGGTGTGACCCGTGTGACTCGTTGGGAACAAGCGGAAATGTGCACGGATTTGTTAAACTTGTTCTTAATAATATACAAAAAGATTTTGACTGGCATCAGTGTACAAACAAATCATTAGATACATAAAAGAACTTAGAAAAGTATTTCTAAAGTTTTTCTTAGGATTAAAGGTGATGTTGGTAGCGGCAACTGGTTGCGCCGCCATGGTGTCCCGGTGAAATATAGCCCTAAAGGCTACTAGAACATACTTGGGTTCTCCTAACAAAACCATAAAGGGCTCAAAGTACGAGTACTCATGGTGCCAGGTGGTAATTGTCGCTTGTTATAAATATAAAGTTTATGGGTATGTTACAGTACGTGTGTGAAATAAGACTAATTGACAAAAGATAGAGTAGATAGTAACAGTAAGGTTCAGAATGTTCTTCTAAGGCTGGAATTGAGCCCGAAAGGAGTTCAATGCCAACTCTCCTGAAAAGGTATTATTATTATGTCAAGAATATGCACAGTTCCAATCCCCAATTTTCCATTAGAAAATAAGTACTTAAGTACCGCACTGCATTGCGTGGGAAGGCAGAATGCCGAGTCGGTCTTCATGAAATATAATTGGTCCTAAGAGCTTTAAGTCACTTTAAAAAGCTTAAAAAGTTGTAGAAAAATCTTAGACTTTTAGATTAGTATGGTTATTTTTACCGTAGTATGTATTATAGTACATTTTCAAGACGCCCAATTTTCAATTCTGACGTTATCCAGAGCAATTAAAGTGTGACGCCACCAAGCTAAAGGTCGCGAGTAAAGCACCACGGTCGTAGTATTAAACCCGTCGTTTAGACTTAATGTCAGACATAAATTACATTTATTTCTTTTCTATTATCTCACTAATCTGCTCTATACGGTATTCGAGACTACGACCAAAGCGATTATTTTGGGTCGGTTTGAATTTTTTACGTCACTAAAGCAGGTATTTACTACCCTACCAAATGAAATGTTACGACAAGAAGCGACCTCTTGTGACCACTTTTCCCGGGGTTCTTAACTTTAGTAACGTAGGGCGAATTCTTTGCCTTACTGGCGCCCCCGGAAGACGTAGCGTGGGCAGGCCTCCCACTAGGTGGACCGACGATCTGGTGAAGGTCGCGGGAAGAGCCTGGATGCGGGCAGCGCAGGACCGGTAGTTGTGAAAATCCTTGGGGAGGCCTTTGTCCAGCAGTGGACGTCATTTGGCTGAAACGTACAAACGGCCACCCCCACCAAAATAATTACAGATACGTTGCTTCCCTTCCAGTGAAATGATTTTTTTTTTTAATGATGGCAATAATCATAAGTGTCACTTGTGGTCTAAACTGAATAAATATTTTTGATTTTGATTTTGAATAATATAGATTATCCTGTTTTCGCCTCCGAGATTTATTTTACCATGTAGTACCCCTGTACGACAACCCAATCCGCACACAATATTCAGCGTAGTAGTAGTAAAAAACAAAAGAGCGGGCAACCCCACCCCTACCACGCTGTGGGCTCGGTGTCCGAGCGGTCTCATTCCTTTGTGCGCACGCGCAACGACCGCACGCAGTATAAGAAAAATGCTTAAGTGACGTCACCAGGACGTTTTTACCGACAAAAAACGTAATTATTTTAAGTTGTGCAGTGTAGTGACGAGAATTAGACCCAACACAAGGTTGGTTGTAACAACTATTTTTAAATCTCTTCGGCGAAAACAGGATAATTCAGATCGAACTTCACTTGGTAAGTTCGTTTGATCATATAATAAACCGTAGTTCCTGGTTGCTAAAGTTATGGTGTTAAAAATGTTTTTCTTCCTTCTAATCCATATTTGTTGTTTTGTTTCAGAAAATAGTTGGACCCAATTTGTAGCCATGGTTGTAGGGGCGAAGATATCCATGCAACATGTGCCCAGCAAAGGAAGGATCTCCATCATGAGGATACAGAACTTCACAGTTAGGAAACGACGTGAGTTTTGATAAATAAGTTCCTAATAATTCATGTTGTTAAAGCATGTTTCAAACTTTAAAATAATTGAAGATGTTACCAATCTTATCTAATCAGTTATACAGGGTGTACCTATGTTGGAATGACATACTTAATTAACTACTAGCACTTTTACCAACTTTAACCGCCAATAAAACCCAATTTGTCAAGGTTTTTGCGTCTCTATGAATAATTAGCTAATAATTAGCAATAACTATAATTGAATTTACTTTCTTAATCACTCTACCAGTAAAATTATAGAGGTTGTTTGAAAAATAAAGGGAATCCTTGAAGTAGTATATTCCCAATTCCGTAAGGCAGTTAGCGAAATTAATAAAAAAAAAGCTCTTTATATTTGACAACGACAAAGAACTCTTAAAAAAACTCATTTATTTTTGCAAACAGGCTTTTAAAAAGCACTTTTACACGTTCCAGTATTAACCCTACCACTGTTTCGGGACAATAAATGGGCCAGTGCTGAGAAAAGCTCAGATAAGATACTTGAAGGCTGTATTTCATGCACACCCTATAACTTTATTTGTGTGCTGCAACGTGGATCCAAGCCAAAATCAATACAGGAGTGGCGGCTTACGACAAATAGCTAAAACCCAGTTCTCATTTTTAGCCCTCAAAGCAAACATTGAATTAGTTTAATGTCTGTGAGATTGTGGCAGTTTAACTTTTTAACAAGTGAACCAATTTTGATGTGAAAAGTGCTTTGAAATCTTAAGCGGAAGTTTTCTTAGCTATGATTCAGGAAAATCTGTGCAGCCTACTAACGATCATCAGCTCTTTTGTCGTTGATGAGGCAATAAGAGCGATATCCACAGGTATTTTTAAATTAATGATGATAATAAGCTGGTAATCTTGACCTACTACTGAAACTGTACTGAAACTGAACTGTAACTGAAATCGCTTGGAACTGGCAGAATGATCAGAAGCTGGCTCACAGTATACTTATGCACTGTATGTCTATGTAATTAGACGTTTTTAGTTGATACTGCTTCATTTTATTTTTGTCCGCATTAATTAATTGCGTGTTCATAGTAGGTGCGTAATATTCCCAAAATTTGCAATTATGACAAATATTTCACCAAAAATACCATTGAAGTGTAAAAAAAAAACAATTTTTTGCTATTGGAACCATTATTTCGCATACAACTGCTAACAAGAACTGCGTAAGACCATTAGTTAAATTGTTTTGTTTGTTAAAAAACGGTTAGTAAATATTTTTGTTATTTTACCTATGATTTTCCTTCACTAAATTACAATGACGTATAAAGTAACGTCATCAACAATAAAATAGATTTTTTTATGATTGCTCGCAGTTTGCGAAATTAAAAATAATAATGCAGACTGAGATAGAAAAACTATTGTTCACTGAACCTTACACTGACAAGTTTATCACATTGATATAAAAACTATTTTTGACCGAACTGCATACGAGTACTTATTCGCGTAGAGTTCGATAAAATGTAGGACTTCCTTATAACCTACTAAGTGCTATTTTGATGACATGACTGTATAAGCTACCTTTAACTTATACGCGAAAGATCAAAATCTTATACAATTAACAAATTACGTTTTTCTTAATTCTCAAAAAAACGTAGTTTTACCCATATTAATGTCAATTTGTAGTGAATTGTGTATTTTTTCGAAAATTTCTACTTTGTTCTCTACTTATTATTTGATCATCTACCAATGAATCACCCTGTATAGTAACAGTTCCTTTGTTTAGGAAGTTTGGAGCTTGACATTCGACATTAGTATCTATTCCCGGTTATTATTTCATCGGTGAATAAAATCTTTATCTTATGTTATTTTTTAAACTAGATCGTTTTTACAGAGTCGGTGATCAAGATCCTGTACGGAACCTTGCTGGTGGTGGTTGGTGTGGTCATGCTGGCCATCAACCCTCTGCAACTGGTCACCAACTGGGTGAGTCTTTTTATTTTTTATTTTTATCCGACTCCAAAAAAGGAGGATATATAAGGTCATAGCAGACTTATCAACTCGGAAAGGAATGAAAACCGTATCGCCTTTCGTAAGTTGTCATCGCCTTTTGCGCGCTAGCGTTTACATTACGGTGTGGATAGAATAGAATAGGTTTATTGACACAATAAAAAAAAGCAGGCTATTAAAACAAAGAGGTAAAGATGAGAAAAAACTGTGCCAAAAGGCACTGCTCAGCATTTATCGTGACATGCTCAAAAGGGCAAGTCACGAAGCTGGTCTTCCGCGGACTCCCTTGCTTATTATTGGGCATCCCTTGGAGAAGACACCGACTAAAAATAATGTAACCGTAATTATAATAACAGTAAAAGTTCGATGTCTCTCCAAGGGGCGCGCAACGCAGGGATGTGTGTTTAATACGGTTACAGTACGTATAAGTGTGCGTTGCGGTATGGAGTTTCATACAAAGAATACTGACCGCCTCGAGTTGCTACGGCTGTGATCTCTTTCCGGGTTGAAAAGTGTGCTACGTCCTTTATTCGACGCGTACCTACTTACGGGCGGCTGAAAAGTTTTGAGCCTAAGTATCTTCAAGTGTTATTATTGACTCGCGCTAAATTTAATTCATTTGCCAATAACCTCTTTAGTATATGTACAAAGTTTCATTTCATTAGCGTCATCACGCTTTTAGAAATTAATCCGTAAACATCATCATGTCTCAGTCATCCGCGCAATGTACGAAATTGAAGTACACAGTTGTCATAAAATTCCTCAAAAAGAAGAACAAAACGCTGACGATAACATTTGAAGAGATGTCTACAGTTTATGGGGAGTCTGGGCCTTCATTTGCCATCATGAAAGATTGGATCCGATAGTTCAAGCATGGCAGGGAGTCGCTAAAAGATGACCGCAAGTCAAGGCGGCCAGATTTCGCCATTACCGATTAAAATAATGAAAATTTAAAGAATCTTGCTTTAGAGATCAGCGAATTAAGCTGTGACAGATAGCTGAAGCCATAGGCATTAGCAAGGAACGTATCGGCGATATTTTTCATACTCATTTGCACATGAAATAGGGGTCCGCGCGATGGGTGCCAAAAATGCCCACGCCGCTCGACAACCAGTGTCGAGTCACAACTTCGCAGGAGTTTTAGGACATCTTTGGCCATAATCCTAACAATTTTTTTTCTCACATTGTCACTACTGATAAATAATAGATCCGGCAGTATAATCTATAGTTAAAATAAGAGTCAATGCAATGGATTCAAAAGGGAAAACGCCGCCGCGGAAATTTAAAGTGGAGCGATCGACCCCAAGCTCATAGCCACTATTTTTGGGATTGTGGAGGAATTTTATTCATTGACTACCTACTTTAAAAAAAACTACAATAAACGGGGATTATTATGCTGTACTAATGATAAAAGTGCGTCAAGTGGTTCTTGAAATATTAACAGGCAAACTGGCGAAAGGAAATCTGTTATTGCAAGACAATTCGCCCGCGCACACCGCGCATGTTACATGGTTTGCCACGGGTAAAACTGGATTTCAAGAAATTAATCACCCACCACACAGTTTAGTTCGAATCCCTAGCTATTTTGTCTAATTCTCAAATTGGAAAAAATATCTCCAGGAACGAAGATTTTTGAGTGACAAAGAAATGGAGGCGGCGTTAAAGGCTCATTTCGAAGGCAAAGATTGCGAATTTTTTTTCAGTGGGTTAAAAGCTCTTTTACGGAAATGTAAGAAGTCCGTTGTAGTAGAGGAAGATTAAATAGTAAAATATATTTTTTATACTTTTCTATCGGCATTTTTAATACCTTAGGCTCAAAACTTTTCAGCCGCCCCTCGTATGTATAGTCAACGTCAAATGATTCGTGGCCTAAAAGTTGACCTTATTTTAAGTAACAAGACGTTGCGAACTTTTTGGACGTTTTGACGTGTCATGAACTATTTGACGCTGATTGTATACGAGTATGTAGGGTAAACCACCCAATTATTGGCACTTTAAGCAGCTACTTAACAAAACCGGTAAAATTTGCATGTAAAAATATGTTTAATCAAAGAAAAAAACATTTATATTGGTCTTTTAATCTTTGCAGAATATTATAAAGTAGTATGTAAATTATTTGAACTGCATACTTATGATAATCTACAAATACACCTACCACCATAAAATATTATGTAAATTGAGATTGTGTCTTTTTTAACTTTATTATTTAACTGCGCAGTTAAGATAACCCCTGTAATTAGTTATGGGTTATCGGTTTACAATTTTATTACACAAAATTGAGATACCTATTGCTTGTTGCATAACGTGAATTTCCGTGTTTCATTGCAACAAAATAAAACAAATGAGATAAATAATGCATCTCAATTATGTTATAAAGCTACGTGCAGAGGCAGAGCTTATTATGTAGAACCCAAAGGGAGCTTTACGTAGGTAATTTAATAGATGAAACTTCATGCAAATCACCTTTAGGATTTACAACATTTCAGCCTATATTAGGACATTGCTGGACGTAAACTTCAACGAAGAAGCACCCCAACACACAAACTTCAGATTTTTATTCAACTACTAACGACATCTTCCACAATGAACGGTCTTGACGTGCTGCCCGCATCCAGGCTCCTCCTGCAACCTTTACCAGATCGTCGGTCCACCTAGTAGGAGGCCAGCGATGCGGGCAGCGCAAGACCGTTCATTGTGGAAATTGAGGAAGGCCTTTGTCCAGCAATGGACGGCATTTGGCTGAAACGAACGAACTAGTGACATCTTTCAAGTCAATATTCAGCATCATCTTCATCATGTTAGCCACAAGACGTCTCTCCTGGATGATTTCTAAATTGACCCGCTGATAGTTGCCTGCATCCAGCGCCTTCCTTTTTTTGGCCAAAAAATATCCTGTCCATACCTGTCGCCGTGGGGTGGCATATTGAGGGGCTCGAACCCACTAAAAACCAGGGGTGTTCCCTCTGTCGCATAGTGGTCAGCGCCTTGGGTGCTAGGCAGGACCAAAATGCCTTCCGTGGATGTCTCGCCCTACACGGGACCCAACATGCACCCCCTCAATGGGGGGTCGATATCCAGAACCTACCTGCTACCTTTAAGTCCAGTCAATATTCGTTCGTTTCAGCCAAATGACGTCCACTGCTGGACAAAGGCCTCCCTCAAGGTTTTCCACAATGGACGGTCCTGCACTGCCCGCATCCAGGCTCTTCCCGCGACCTTTATCAGATCGTCGATTACCAGTCATTATTACGACGTGATAAATATTTTACGACTTTTATTAGCCAAGGAGGCAATAAATTCTTAAACACGTATTTATTTGCAGTCGTCATAAGGAAAATATATTTTTTTGACCAAGTTTATGATGAAGTGGTGACTTCCTGTTTTTTTATTGGTTACTAATTATGCATTTCATGATAATGAGGTTAAGATGAATTATGGTCTAGCCTTATGGCGACCTTACTCGTCAAAAGCATAAATCTGATTTTAGCCTTGTTCGCGGTTGTTAGAACCAACCCAAGTGAAAAATAATATAAACGATCATAATACTGGATCAGTTAATCGTATAAATATTTACATCCTACCAGGAAAATATTATAAAGCTCACCCTTATGTGCTTAGATGGGTAACGATACTAGATAATTTTTATTTTATTTTATTTTTTTGGACAACCAACAAGACAAATACGCATACCTACATAATTACTACATAAATGAATAGATATGATTGAAGAATAAATAACTATTCCCACCGTTGCAACTCCTATGTAGCCAGGATGAAGGGCAAGTCTATGCCAGGGGAAAGTTAAAGGAAATAATCAGAAGAGTACCTATAGGAGGAGTTCGAAGTTAAGGTTCGATTTCCATGCAGTAGGTGCAATAGGAACCAATTATCCTTAGTTTCTAATCCAAATTAAATAAAAATCTATGTAAGACTATTCATTTTAATTCTTCAGTCCTAAAGACAGATTCTATGTCAAACTTAAAGGGGACAAAGGATTTCGCTTAGCATGCATGCGTCTAGCTTTTCCTTACTCGTCTGGATCTAGGTCAAGTTTAGGACATGATTGTCCTATTAATCGTTTATCTATTATAATCAAGCTACGCTGTAAGATCTTACATAGTTGTAATAGGGGATAATTTGCAACGAAATTGTAGGTATTCATTTTAGTAAAGGTGAGTTTAACGCTCGTATTCACAAACATTTCTATGCGGTCTCACAGTGCACATGCACGCACAGGGTGACACACGAACCAATCACAGAGCTCTACACTGAAAAAAATGTTTCGTTAGACAACTAAGTGCCTTGCGAACTGAGTGTTATCCTATAACCAAACCATTTAGCTCACTACGAAATAGTTTGTTTAATTTACACATGTTCCTTATAACTATAGTACCTACCTAGTTAAGTAGTAACCTCTAGTCACTCATTTGTGTAAGCAGTAACCAAACTACTTGATAAATTTCTTTTTTGTATTGCAAATTTTAATAACAATAAATCAATTTTATGAATTCTATTTTTATTATTGGATTAACTAATTTTTCGAACTAATAATATTGAATAATAAATCCCTCAATGATTTCCACATAGTCCGATTGTAGCGGCCTGCATCCAGTTCCTTCCTGAGCCTGACCTTTATGAGGTCAAAATCAAAATTATATAACACATTATTTTAACAAGTCAAGATTATGTAAATACAAAAGTAGTAAAAATACATAGCCTTGGACATTTAACGATAGGATGTGACCATAAAGAATGCAAAGGACATTGTCAGAAACCGCCTAAAAAACCGCCAAAAAACATTAACCCATCATAATTATTTTCTATTTTTTTNGCCATGTTGTCATAAACGACATATTATAAAATCGCTGTGATTTAATATTCTTAATCATTAATTTTATGGCAAGTGTCCATCAGGAATCATTGTTCTTACACACAGAATCGTATTATTTCGCTTTCGGGTAGTAATATGTCAAAATTGTTGGTTCTTAGGCAAACAATGTATGGAGAACGAACATTGTCCTTTACACAAAATGCAACAGCTGTCTGTCTTTTTATAATCTTCTTTACTATGTATGACTCCTACATCCTTAGTGTACATAAGTGCCACTTGTGGTCTAAACTGAATAAATATTTTTGATTTTGATTTAGATTTTTTGATTTTTATACTAAATACATACATACATAAAAATTATTGTTGACGGAATTGCTACCATGTACCTTAATTTTGAGTTTTTCAGTTTCTCCGTGACCATGGCGCTTGCAACAGTGCCGAAATATCGGAAAAGTTTAAAACAATATACATAATATTTACCCATTGTAAGGTTGTTCATCTTTAGCTCGTTATCAGTGTCAAAGGTGCCGGCAGTTATTTTGTCTATTTAGTTTGTTTCCATATTCAGATAAGGTAATATTTTTAACGAATTTAAAATAAATTTAGGTACCGGAAACAGTGTTATCATTCTTGACATTTTAAAATGTCAACACAAATATTTAACTGCTTAATATTTTAGTGATATTAAATTGATTTGGTATTGAAAATAGATGACTAGGATGTTTGAATTAGTTCATTAACAAAAAGACACAATTTTAAGTTTGCTAAGCAAAAATATTAAAATATGCATTATGCATAATATTTTTTATTGATTAAAGGAGTGTGTATTATTATATTAGTGTATTTTGGTAATATTAAATTGGCTAACGTAGAGTCAATTTCTTGGGATACTAGATTTACAAAGTAGTACATAAATTAACTATTTAAATCTTAAGTACAAACTTAATTGTACTAATGGGAAGCTGTAAGATAATGTTACTCAGTCCTATTGGTTCGTAAAATTGTCAAAGTTGACATAGTCAAACTAGACTCAGAAAAACAGTCAGTCAAATGATTTGATAGTGTAAATAGATGATCACAAACAGACATATTTGGTGACTAGCTCAGCATAAACATTGCAACATTATCGTTTAGTGTTAATGTCGTTTTCAAGAAGAAAAGGTCGCCATTTTGCTAATTTGTGGCTTTGTCCAAGGTCCAAACAGCTACGTGCTCAAGCGGTACTTTGGGCTATAATAGTTAATTAATTTGGTCATTTATCTTTGTACGTGCACATAATAGGATAGCTTAGTTAAATGCTGGTAACAGTTAGTGACAACCACTAACCACAGCAAAAAGTTCATCTGCCATTATGCTCGTCGGACTCGGAGGTTTCGAGTAATGACAGGTGAATGTACCATCAAAAGAGAGGTTTTTGAGAACAAAATGATACAAGAAATCGCACACATCTTTCACGATTTAAACTATCAAGGTAGAGATTTGACATAAAGCTCCATACAAATTTATACACTAATACAATACAATAATATTGCGCTAGCTATTAAAGATAGTTAATTAGCATTCCCTTGATATGGTTGACTAACGGATACAACAAAGCACAAAAACACAATAATTAACTGGTACCTACCAAAATATTTTTTCTAGTGGCGTGATCGTTCGTAAAAGTATCTATGCCGATTCATAAAAAATATGTCACAACATGATTAGTGATATCAACTTCCCTATGACCCTAAACTATCTAAGAGTTCACTCTACCCGCTCTATGCGAGATAACTAAACAAATTTTGTCTTATTATTTACTAGCGGCCGCCCGCGACTTCGTACGCGTGGATCCCGTTTTACCCCCGTACTAATTCCCGTTCACGTGGGAATTTTGCAATATCCTGTTGTAACTAAGCTTTAAGTTTACTAAGGTACCTGCATGCCAAATTTTTGTTTCTATAAGGAACATACAGACAGACAGACAAAAATTTTACTGATTGCATTTTTGGCATCAGTATCGTTCACTAATCACCCCCTGATAGTTATTTTGGAAATATATTTCATGTACAGAATTGACCTCTCTACAGATTTATTATAAGTACCTATAGATTAATGCAAAACACTTGTAAGCTTCCAGAACATAAAACTTTGAGTTTTGGAACATTAACAAACTCCATACAAATAAACACACTTCTTTGCGTCGCGCAGTCGGGTAAATGCACGGGATATCGTTGTAGTTATGGTAAAAGTTAGTTGATGCAACTCAGCCTTAGTCTTTGCAAATCATAATTAGATACCGTCAACCTCGACAACTTTTTACGATACACAAAACTAGAAGCTGTCGCATATTGATTTGTCGCATAAACATAAAAAAAAAACGGTTTGTCTGTAACACGTACCAATTGAAGTAGAACCGGTTGGGCCAATCATTGACCGATTTACTGTGAAATTTGAATAAAACACGAGCAAAGTTCAAGTACGTACTGTATCATTCGTTCTATGGTCACTACCAAGGTTTAACGCGGTTATAGAAGTGAAAACCCGGGTAGTATATTATAGGTCATTTGGGTATTGATTTTGAGTTATTTGTATGGTGATGGTGAGCTTCAACAGTAATCTTTGTAAATAACGACAGGTTAGTGACATTTCTTGGCTAAAAATAATGAAACTTTTAAGTTTCAGAAACATACCACATTTTTGCAGAACTGTTTTATTTGATTAGATAATTAGGATAATAAGCTTCAATTAAATGTTTATGTTACGGCTAAAGATAGTTGTGAACATAAACTTAAGATTAGCCGGCTAAACTTAAGTTTATCTTCGAGAAGCAGCTAAAGTTCGATAGCATGTTAGTTTGCGTCGTGATATTCCATCTTTAGCCGGCTAATGTGCACATTAGCCAAAACGGAACGGCTAAAAATGTATTCGATGGGCGCGCCAGGCTGGCGGAGGGCTTGAGGGGGCGGTGGGGAGACAACGCGCGCGCAGTTTTATTTTGTAATTTTAAATACCTACAGAAGATTCAATTGTAATGACCAAATGGTTCCTTATTATTTTATTTTAATGATTAGGTAGATATTGTTTTAAGTGATTAATATTTTTTTATTGTAATAATTGTAATTTTGAATACCTACATAGGTACATAAAAGTATGTGTAATGAAAGTGATTATTTTTTAACACGTTCCGCCGCGGTAACGGCACATACAGTAAAGGTGGAATTCATTCATATTATGGCAGTACGGGTCTCGCCGTTTTCACGAAAATCAATCTAAAAATCACTACGGCAACAACCGTCGATTTTACATTAGAGTTTCATAGAGAGCAGACTTGTTGTTGCAAAATATTTCGAACAACAGTACGGGTATAGGTGTATGAAACATTTATGTGAACCACAATTTATCGCTGGTTTCCTGAATTTCAACGTGGACGTGTCAAGCTCAGTGATGATCCCCGTCAAGGTCGTCCAAAAACTGCAGTCACCTAAGAAAACGTTGATGCTGTGCGTAAGCTGATTGAAGAAGATCGACATGTGATATACCGCGAAATTCAGGCAACTTTAGACATTGGCATGAGTCAAATACAAATAATCTTGCATGAACAATTAGGTGTAAAAAAGTTGTTTTCCCGATGGATACCGCATTCGCTCTGTGAAGAGCAAAAAGCGGCTCGCGTTACTTGGTGCGTCAGAACTCTCGGGAGATTACATGCAGGATCCTCAAATGCTGTATACAACATCGTATCAGGTGACGAATCATGGATATACGCGTACGAACCCGAAAAAAAAAACCAGTTACGAGTTTGGGTGTTCGAAAATGAATTAAAGCCAACAAAAATAGTTCGTTCACGGAGTGTTGCAAAAAAAATGGTGGCTACGTTTGTCTCCAAAACCGGCCATGTTGCGACTATTCCTCTTGGGGGACAAAGAACGGTTAATGCAGATTAGTATGCTAGCATTTGTTTGCCACAGGTCGTTTCTGAACTCCGTAAAGAGAACTGCAACCGCCGCATCATCCTCTATCACGACAATGCGAGTTCTCACACCGCGCACTGAACAAAAGGGTTTTTAGACCAAGAAAACATAGAATTATTAGTCCATCCGCCGTACAGCCCCGACCTAAGCCCTAATGATTTCTATACTTTCCCTAAAATAAAGAATAAATTGCGTGGTCAGAGATTTTCATCACCTGAAAAAGCTGTGGAAGCCTACAAAACGGCCATTTTGGAGACCCAAACTTCCGAATGCAATGGTTGCTTCAATGATTGGTTTCGTGTATGGAAAAATGTGTCAAATTTCGCGGAGAATACTTTAAAAAGCAATAAATACATTTTTAAATGGAAATGTTGTTTCACTTCCTTGATTCCCGAAATTTTCAGTGCCGCCCTCGTACTTTTAATCTAAACAAAAATGATGTCACCAACCCTGAGTCCATATCAAAGCATAAATCTAGCATATAAGGAACTTTATGATCCGCCTATCTGAAATCTAGACAAGTTAGGTTTATTCTTCGCATAATTATGCCAAGGCGATACGTCTGCTATTAATGTATGAAGACAGACGATATTTTATATGACACGTTTCATAATAACTAACGTAACATCAAGCCTTGATGAAGACGACTGTATTATGTTTTGAATGATCTTGAACTTGGTTGTTATGCCATCTGTTATACAATCAACATCATGTGTGTCTTTGCATAATACCATCGCTTTGATAACACTGTGGCACGAGTTTTGTATCTTGTTATAATTTAACGTAGGATTTACTATTATTGAATGTAGGATATCTACGCTTTAGTGAGATGTCAAAAAATGTAGGTACTTAATTCACGGTTTTCTATTTGGTATTAATTGTAATATCAGATCGAAGAACAGACAGATACATGAGGTTAATCTCTAAGAGTCCCTCTTTCCTTTTTACGAACCCTAAAAATTGCCTTTGATCGTAATTCGAAAATCAATAAGAAATGGAAATGCAGAGGAATTATATTTTATGTATGATGTCCTATGGCCAAATGGCTGATAAGATGATGACGATTATGAAGACAACTTGATACCAATTAGTATTTCTCTCTTCCAGATCTTCGAGATAAAGGAAGGTTCGTTCCTATACAATATGTGGGAACAGCCTCCCTACAAGCTCTACGCAGAGGTGTGGGTGTACAACTACACGAATGTTGAGGAATACTTGAGTGGGGAAGACACCGTCATGAAGGTGAAGGAAGTGGGACCGTTTTTGTACCAGTAAGTATAGGAAATAAGTGACAACATACCTACGTAAAACTTAATTTTATCTTGCTTTAAAATTAACTTTTGAAACCAGTCTTCCAGAAAATTATAATAGTAATTGGTACACTATTATTTACTTAAAAACTAGTAGTTTCATTTTGAACAGTCTCTTTGACATAAAATATTATGTAGAAGGCCCTATGGGGAAAGTTTCGTAGTGAAAATACAGCCACATTCATTCTAAGTTGTAATTAGGTATCGCGTTAAAACCTGTCAAAAATAATTAGAAACAAGTTGTAACAAATTAATTAGCAAAAAGAAATGTTTAATCTGAAATGCTCATTATTACACCTGAAAACATGAGAATGTGGTAATTAATCGTATCGAAAAACGTTTATTTGACGACAGCTGAAAAATTCACGAATCGATCTAAAACAACAATCTTTGTCCATTTCTAGGGAGTTCCGAACCAACCAAAACATCACCATAGACAAGGAGCGCGGGGTGATGAGCCTCACTCCACACATCGCGCTGAAGTTCCAGAAGAACTTGTCCCTGGCTGACACCAACGATGTCCACATCTACGCCCCGAATATTGCGTTACTGGTAAGTACATAGACCAAAGTAAACTATCCCCTGGACTACATAACCAGGACCCTGGACTAAACAACAAGATCTACAGTTTGAGTTTAGCCATCTATAACTGGACCAAACCGCCCAGACAGTAAGGGACTAGTCAATCTTTTGTTGGATTTCGTGTAGATCCTGGCTATTATTGAAATTACAGGGGTGGAAAGAAAGGTCGAGTTAAGTGCCCGATTTCACTACCAATCCTCAATTTTTAAGTGACCTCTATGAAAACAAAATGCCTGTTATGTGTTACCATAGGGGTCACTTAAAAATTAGGGATTGATGGTGAAAACGGGCATTAGTGCCCTTTAGACCTCACCTAAAGCGAGTTGTCGGACTGCCGATTCGAGTTTCGGAGAACGCTGGTTCGATCCCCATTGATAGCTGGACTATAGTGGTGTACCCACTCCTAGCACAATCAAACAGATAGCGAGGAGTTAACGGGGTTTTACAAAAAATGTGCTAACAAATCACTAATTAGCAGCTTACATAGCATTGTTTAGCAACCTACGTTGCGTTTAATAATGGATGGGCGACCATTCCGAGCATAGATATTTTGTAGCATTCATCACAAGCATCTCCGTGCTTTACTAAAAATACAGCAAAACCGAAAGAATGTGTAACTAATTACTAAGGAACTAACGCCCGTATTCACAAACGATGCTTGCTTAAGTGAAGCAGCAAATCGAACGCACAGCTTTGAATAGAGCTCTGTGATGGGTTCATGTGTCAGCCTGTGCGTCCACGCGCACTGTGAGACCTCATAGTAATGTTTGTGAATACGGGTGTAAATCACAAAAGAGGAAAATCGTCCGACTGATTAGATTCCAAGTGGTGTCAGAGACATATTGACCGCGACTGTTTGATCGGTTAACGTGAGCCTCTTCAGTGTGCCTACCATGAGTTTACGTTAGGTGAGCTCGCTAGCGAATACGTCAAAAAATTCTATGAAGATTTTATTTCTTGAAAGTAGCCGCTAGGGGCGCTGCACAATATGTCATACATTTAAATGTCATTTTTTTACGCAGTCGCTCGCGAGCACACCTAACGTAAACTCATGGTAGGCACACAGAAGCCGACACCGTGTCGCAAGTGGTAACGTGAATGATGCATTTGCCACAGGTTATCCCGCTGGCACTATAATTTCCTTGATAGAATTCTTAACTCTTCTAATGTCCGACTATCCTAATCCATCCAAAAAGACATCACAATCTCTGCTCTATTTTCCAACTTTATGCGATAAAAGAAGCGACCAAACGTTAAATTTCAAAGCTTTTCCCGAAAAACTGCTTATTAACTTACTAAAGAACATTAAACTCGCAGAAACTTCTAATTCTATTGTTTATATGGTTAAACTTCTGTAACTACAGTGTACCTACCATGAGTTTACGTTAGGTGTGCTCGCTAGCGAAAACGTCAAAAATCTCTATGGAGATTTTGTTTCTTGAAAGTAGCCGCTAGGGGCGCTGCACAATATGTCATATAATTAATGTCATTTTTTTACGCAGTCGCTAGCGAACACACGTAACGTAAACTCATGGTAAGCACACTGACCTCAAAAACGTGCATTAAGCTCGAACATGTCTTAAAAATCAAGAAGACTAGTTTACGATATTTTATTTGAAATACCTACTTTGAAACTGACTCTTTTTTTTAAAGACGCACTCAAAATACCTCGCAAAGAACCTCGAAAACCCCAGGAGATTAAGTTTTTAGGTGAGAATATTTTCCATAAGTAGGGGTTAAATTAATAAGCAAGTTAAATCTGTTTAATTAATAAACAACTGTAATTAATAAGCAAGTAATATTGCAATAAATTATAAACATACTAAGACTGCAGTTAATGACAAAGATTAATAAGTAGGTTTAATGTATTAGCCGGTATAACAATATTTATCTTGATGCATATCTAATTATCATAAAATATACGGTCATTGCACTGGCAAGGGCTGCCTAGTTTAGATTTTAATATTAACAATATTTGTATTATTTTATAATAAGTTCTATAATCCTGGAAGTAGGATTTAATATTTATATTCATCGACTACAAAAGTGTTTAAACCACTGGTAGATATTGAGCAGTATAAAATAATCCTAGTTAATTTATATGTTAATTATTAGACATACACTTTACGACCATTCGCTTTATTAATTTACACAAATTTAAAACAAGAAATAAGAGAAATGAGTAAAATTATAACATCTACTTACCTTGCAGCTTCGTTTCTTATCTTCACTCGAGTTATCCGGACGTCACGCGTGAAAAACTTAGAATTTTCTCACTCCACTTGTGAATAAAATAAAGTATCACATCACATTATTGGTTTATTTACAAGACAAAACTAAAAAATAATAATGTTATTAACCGACAACTGAGCACGAACCGACTAGCTCACTCATTGAACTTGAATGTGAAATCATTACCCACAAAATAATGTTAGAAAAAAAGTGTACTACCCTCACTACATTATTGTTAATTAATATAGAACTTACTTAATTTCACCAAAAATGTTAAATGCACAACGCACATTACAGATGTTTTCAAAATTAAAATAGCTAATGCATTTCACTTTACACCAAGGAAGGGCATTATAATTATTTAAATTAAATTGAATTCGGAACACCAAAATTCGAATAACGAACGTCGCCGTATGTTTTGTTTATTTAGTTTGATTTAAGGTAAAGGCGTAAAGACGTACAGCCAGCTATTTCAGCCGCAGAAATTTCCAGATTTGAATTTGGAACGTAAGATAATAATTTTACAATCGAGTTCCACAGAAAAAGAAATCACTCGAAATCGGCACTGGCCATTTAGTAACCATCGTAAAATAATACTAAATGACAATCTAAAAAAAAGCTCGTTAACAAAAAAAATAAATCCTTATTCCTTGGTCAAGGCATCACTCGTGAACGTTGGAGCGATTTCTCTAATTCCTTTTTTTGTTATGTTTGTTGTTGACAGAAGATTCTTAAGTAAAAATAAAAAAAAAATAAGAAAATTGCGTGGAAAATTAAAATTGAGCAAACTTAGCGGCCATTTTAACTTTTTTAAGATATGACAGTAAAAAAAATATTATGATTACAGCGATCGATATTAAATCGATACATAGTTTTAAAGACGACATCCCTGAGACCTAGATTCGCTACAAACCAGCCTTCAACGTCTGCGTATTACAAACCATTACAAACTATCCGAAATAAACAGCGGTGTCTATGCATAGCATGATTATGGTAATTTAGGCTGATGCCGGCAAGGCCAGCTGCATTCTAGCCTGGAGAAGGGTCTAGAAACTCTAGAACTAAGGAGTTATTGACCGTATTGGAGGACATAACTTATCTTGATAGAGATAATTCCTATATTAAGATAGTAAATGGTCGCAAAGTTCAATTTCGCGAATTATAAATACGAACACAAAACCTTTCCCTTCGACATTAAAAAATTAGGAGTACATAATGCGATCTAGATTTTTGAACTTCCTAGCTTGTACTTATTTACTAGACTTCTGAAGTCTTAGAAGGTTTGAATTCTTCTAGGGACAAAGTTAATGTTGAGCACATGTAAATAAAAAAGTTTTGACCAGCATTGATAGAATAACTTGAAGTTACTTAAATTAGTTATTAACAAGGCATTCCCCTCGCCTCTGGTAAATTAGAGAGGGTTGTAATTTCGCATTAATCAGTATATGACCTGATGATGTTTTTTTTAATTAGGCCTTGCAGCTAAGCTAAATATACGATTATGTTAGGACTGGGTTCACCACAATAGTCTTGTGGAAAACGTGATTCAAACTAAAGTCTGGTCCGTGAGCACGTAGAATTTTGTCCAAAGACCCCAAGCTACCCATCCTTTTTTTTTTTTTTTTTTTTTTTTTTTCCCAGAAATGAAACTACGTGTTTACAATGATAGAATCCTATCGAGCGAGTTTTAGGACCCGCCGATATGCCCGAGCCTATACCACCAAAAAATTATCCAAATCCAGATTATTCCAGATCCAGGTGTTAGAAAGACGTGTGAAATCTGTCCCGTTCGGTTGAAAAGGCGAACGAGTACTGTTGCTGCAAATTTAAGAAACCAATCTACCTTACTTGCTGCCTACAAATATGCAGTGACTGCAAACGTACGTAGTGAATGTACCAAATATTCAAGTGCTGTCAGTTTTTTTATATTAAAACTAAGAAGTAAGATTTATGTTTCATTTCGATATTTGTTTACAGAAGATAACATATTTTCAGTTCATTCGTTTTTTAATATTTAGAATTTTAGAGAAAAATAAGACTAAAGTAAGTCCTTAAAATTAAGTGCCAAATAATCGTGACCTCTCGAATAAATGTTGATTTTACCTGAAAAATAACGTGTATTTTTTTGAAATCCTGTAGTTTACTTACCTCAAATAACAATCTTTTTAATGCATAAAATAGAAAAATGTAGCATGCAAATACACTTGTAATTTCATTACTTAAATTTTTACGTCTCTCAGTCGTCACATCGGCGTAAGTGCTGCGTTAAGACCAGGTCGGCAGCTAAAGGTTTATGATAATAATGAAAGACGAAATTATCATTTTCTGTCAGCTCAGTATACTTATTATACCTATTTCACTGTCTCCAGGCAATCAGCACCCTCCTAGCCGACAAGCTGGGGTACCTGGCTAATGCAGGGGCCTACTACTCCATCAACGCTCTCGGCTCCAAGCTCTTCAGGAACCTGACGGTGGAGGAACTTCTGTGGGGGTACGAGGACCCCATCGTGACGGTTGCCAACAGCCTGCTTCCTGGCTGGATCGACTTCCAGAAGATCGGCATTCTGGACAGGGTGTGACACTTTTCACTCTTAACAATTTTAAGTAGTTCAATTATTCGTCTCTAATTAAAAAAACGGTATCCTTCCGTTTGGCCAAATTACTTTTCGCCAAATTTCACTTCGCAAACAACTTATCGCCAAAGTTTCATTTCCCAAATGAACTTTTAGCAACTGCACTTTTCGCAACTATTTTATTTGGTCAAATTATCATTTGGCAAAATTTTACTTGGCAAATATTTATATAGCAAATGTTTTATTTTGCCAAATATTATATCCCAAATAATTTGTTTGGTCAAATTGACACTTCCACAAATCAAAGCATAAGGCATATCATGGTTTTCACGAGAATTTTATGTAAAACAAAGAGATTGCAGAAAATAGTATGGTTGCAGAAAGTACTAGGTATTGCAGAAAATAGTAGGTTAGGTTAGGTTAGAACAGTGACCCTTAAGAATCACCTCTACTGTTATTGAATCATTTGGAAATTTCGATAAAAAGAATGAAATATGAAAATTAATTTAGGACAAATTTTATAATAACTACCCACTAAACAAAATAATAACCACAAGCTAATTTGTATTCCATTCTATGCACCAATCAAATTATTTTGTAAATAGTTTATCGTGAAATATTTTTGCCAAATGAAACATTTGGGAAAACATACTTTGCCAAACAATAATTTGCTAAATAATAATATGCCAAAAACGACATTTGCGAATTAAAAGTTTGCAATAAGTTGGTTTTGCCAAATGAGAATTTGCCAAATGAAAATTTGCGAAACGTTGTTTGCGATGTGATAATTTGGGAAACGTTTTTTGGCCAAACATTAGTAATCCTAAAAAAACAAAAGCATCGCGCATTTTTTTTAACGGGCGAATCGTATTTTTTCCGCAAGATGTCAATTTTAATGTTTTGTTTTTTCTTTGCTGCCAGTATATTTAGTTACGATTTTTGTACGCTTTTTACTTTTTGTGGTTTGTCTAATGATGAATAATGAAGATATGGCTGCAGAAAGAGTGAGACATACCGAACCAAGGCGATAAAATCTGTTAAAAATGTTTTATGTAAGTCCTTGATTTAAGTAGGTTTTTTATGATTAAGAACTTAAGGATCTGAAAACTGATAACATAAATGCCTATGTTTATTTACAGTTCTACGCAAACAAGGACGAGGTAGCTGAAGTAGAGATTGGTGACGTCAGCAATAAATTCTCCATCATCAACTGGAACGAATCACCAGGCATCGTGGAACAAGGATTCACAGATTTGAATACGAGGTAACGTATTTATTTACTGTCATCAGTCATGTTCAAATGCAAAGCTTTATAACAGAGTATATTTTAAATTTTTACTAAAATATGGGAAAAGAATCGTGTTGATAGAGCTGAAAACTCTATGATATTTCTTGATGTCATCAATTTGTCTTAAAATGCACACATTCTGCTAAGAGGCTGGGAGATTCTTGTGACAATAAGGGTCTCTTATTTTTAACTTCGTAACCTTAACAATGACCTCTCTCTTTCCAGCATCCCTTGTAACCGCGTGCAAGGGACCTACGAGGGCCTGATGCTGTCCCCCAACTACCCGAAGGACCGCGTCATCAACATCTTCAGGAGGCAAGCCTGCAGGATCTACCCGTTCGCGTTCTACAAGGAAGTCAATGACAAATATGGATTTAATTACTACAGGTGAGTTAAAGTTATATTTGGGTTAAGTTTTAGATAAGTTTTTTTTATACAAGGCAAGTATTTGACCGCAATCGCACTTGGTGTTAAGTGAGATTAATAAAAGATAATCGGGACTATTTTCACTTCTCGTTCCCACCGCTGCAACTCTTGTGTAGCCAGGATCACAGCTTGACCGTCAATAAAACCAACCAATGAAGGTCAAGTTTGATAGTTCTGTCATTGGACTCGCAACGAAATTAATCAGAAGAACTCAGATTCTAAGTTAAGGTCGGGCCAGTAAGCGAAAAGTTCTAGATTTGAGTCCTACTATCTGAGGCAGTTGATCGAATGGCGTGTCTCCAAAAGATGTGTTGTGACGTTTGATGAGGCTGCGGAGCGAGCGCTTGAGGGAGGAGCTACATCTACACCTACTGAAGCTATTCGGTTTATTTATCTAAAAGTACCTGAGTATGTTAATAGCTTGACTTACGATTTCTTTTTCAGGTTCAGGATGGAGCAGTCAGCTTTCAACACCTCCTCCCCCTACGCTTGTAAGTGCAAGGAGAACTGTCTCCCCGATGGCTTCGTCGACGTGTCGAATTGTTACTATGGTAAGTGCTAATGATGAAATCAACCGCTTTAAAATTAAAATTGAGTTCGATTCCTACCTTACGCAGTTCGATTTTTTTAAGTTATTTTAAAAATATTTAGATCAAGAGGCGACACTTAACGCCAGAAAAAATTTAGTAACTATCTTTTTCTACATTACCTACTTATAAAATCATTAACAACTATCTAGACTAGAACTAGATTGGAAGAGTTCCAACTCTCCAACCAACCTAGAGCATGATAGGATTTTTAGACTTTTTTAATTATAGACAAATTGATTCTAAAGTAAATTTTTAATACAAGAGGACAAACCAGTTTCTTAACCTTCATGTTATATTCCAGGATTCCCTATTGCACTATCGAAGCCCCACTTCCTGGACACAGACCCTCAGCAAAAGAGTTACTATGAGGGCATGAATCCTGATCCTGAAATACATAGCTCTGTCTTGGACATGGAACCGGTAAGTGCACACATCATCATCATCATCATTTTCAGCCATAGGACGTCCACTGCTGAACATAGGCCTCCCCCAATGATTTCCACAAGGGTTGGTTGGTGGCGGCCTGCATCCAGCGCCTTCCCGCTACTTTTATAAGGTCATTGGTCCAACTTGTAGGTGCACACACAACATGATACCAATACTTTTGTTTCCAAGATCTGCAGCTTTTACAAAGCCACTAGCTATTTTCTTAGCTGTGCTTAGCTTACTCAATCATTTTAACCGAATATTATTAGGTATTTTGTTCAGCTCAGCAAGATTAAATACATTTTTTGACCGCTCTAATTTTGTGCTTCTTGCAGACTCTGGGAGTGCCTCTGGCATTATCATCAAAGATGCAGGTGAATTTAGCAGTCAGGACTTCCTCTGGGAACCCAATTACCAGGCCATTCAAGAACAAAGTGGTTCCTATGCTTTGGCTTTCTTTGGTAAGTGTTTTTTTAACTTCCTATGCTTGTGCTACGGGTTCACCGTAATAGTCGAGCAGTGTATTGGGAATCGAACCCACGTTCCTCATTCAACCCAACATCCAACGTCATTGTAGATTGTTAAGAGGAATTTGATGTTAAACATAATACCAGTGGTCGTGACTTGCTTTTCTCTCTAGAGTTTTCTTNAAAGATTCTAAATAAAATGGTTTAGGGTTGTTTTTATCCCAAATACATTATATTAATTTCGTAGTCTTGTCGAATTACTAGTTCTCTTGATATTGTTACATTGTATTTCTCCTTCACAATTTTACTTTTATTGTTGTACCGAGACTGATTTCACTGAAACCCTGAACAGTTGGTGCTAACCCGCTGGCTGTTCAATATTAGGTATGGATACAATACTTAGGTGTCCCAGATTTGACATTAACAGGAGGGTGCTACTATAACAGCTGGGTTATTATTAGTTTAGATTTTTGCCACGTTGGACAAAACTGGTGTCCCATATTATGATTATGACATTTACAAGAAGGCGCTACTATCAATACTGAATTTTAGATGTATAAAATCTGTCGTAGCGAGAGAAACAAAGTCTGTATTGTGTTTGTTTCGCTCACAGCCCATTCACTGTGGCCGATCCGTTCTCATTAAATTTGAATTGAGTACATCAATGAACGATCTCATTGCCACCTTCCAGATACGGCCTCCCCGTGAACTTCCAAGCCGTAGTGTTGGTTCCCGCCCGCAAGAGCGTGAAGAAGCTACGTGACGTGCTGCAACAACTCTACGCACATCTGGACCACTCCGCACAGCACCACGGATCCAGTGCGCAGGACGTAAGTACACCCTAGCCTGTAGTGTACCACCCTAGGCTGCAGTGTACCACCCTAGCCTGCGGTGTACCACACTAGCTTGTAGTGTACCACCCTAGCCTGGAGTGTACCATCCTAGCCTGTAGTGTACCACCCTAGCTTGTAATGTACTACCCTAGCCTGCAGTGTACCACCCTAGCCTGCGGTGTACCACCCTAGCCTGCAGTGTACCACAGTACCACTAGCCTGCAGTGTACCACAGTACCACTCTAGCCTGCAGTGTACCACAGTACCACTCTAGCCTGCAGTGTACCACAGTACCACTCTAGCCTGCAGTGTACCACAGTACCACTCTAGCCTGCAGTGTACCACAGTACCACTCTAGCCTGCAGTGTACCACAGTACCACTCTAGCCTGCAGTGTACCACAGTACCACTCTAGCCTGCAGTGTACCACAGTACCACTCTAGCCTGCAGTGTACCACAGTACCACTCTAGCCTGCAGTGTACCACAGTACCACTCTAGCCTGCAGTGTACCAAAGTACCACTCTAGCCTGCAGTGTACCACCCTAGCCTGCAGTGTACCACCCTAGCCTGCAGTGTACCACCCCAGCCGGTAGTGTACCATCTTAGGGCACTAGGATGTTTGCCCGATCGCGAACGTCGTTCTGCAAATGACGCGAACGATGCGATACACTGACAATCATCGATTGCATCGATCGAATTTCCAGCCAGGATAGAATTCGCGCTACGATAAAATCGTATAAATAAACGTATATAATATACGTATAAACGTATGAGCTTATCGTCTTAACTCGATAAAATGACTCAATAAGATTTTATCATAGCGCGCATCCTAGGGTTACTTTTTTAATCTCGGGCATCCGTCAGTCTATAAACTTTACATTCCTAGTCTTTATCCCATAACTAGTCTTTAATAACTTTGCCGGGGCCGGACACAGATGCTGCAAATTATTATTGATGATTAATAGTACCAATCTTAATATTTTGTTATCTGTATAAATCTGTAGAGCGGAAGGTTTGTGATTCCTAAACGTAACACCCGACTGATGCGCAGAAAAAGGTAACTGTCAGTCAGTTGTGTCATGTCAAGTGTGAGCAAGCGGCTACGAGGTTATCTTTGAAAGCGTATTGAGTTTGGTGGAACGTTAAATTGTAGGGAAAGTGATTGTCAACCATCCAACATATTATCTCCTTGCCCGCTAACCCACGCCAATGGAGATTCCACCCCTAGAGTTCCTTCTGATAGAGACCCAGTGCCTTTAACTTAAGTTTTATTTTGTCAACAAAATTAATAAATTCGTTACTATTTTTTCCAGAGCGCAGAACTGGCCGGGCTCGGCTTCGGCCAATCGGAATACTACCCGTACGTGTTCTACAAGATCAACATCGACATGATAGAGAAGGCGGCCTAGGCTGCACGCGGCTATTACTGTTAGGTAAGTAACGGTACCGTTATAACGGCGTAGCGTTATCGGTTAATAAGTCTGTCCTCTTAAACAAAGTAGCATGTTGTTATGACAAACGACTATTACTGTTAGGTGAGTAACGCTAACGTTATAACGGCGTACCGTTAACGGTTAATGAGACTTCTTCTGTCCTTTTACACAATTAACATTGGTGGCAATTTGAACTTCGATAGCGCTTCACGGAGTAGATTAGTCAATAATATTGCAAGAAATCTATATTTATTGTAGATAATTTAAAACTCGATTACATCATTCATTTGCTGACACCAAATACAAAACATGCTATTTTATCGACATTATGGCTTTGCAGTTTGTGGTATTGTTAAATGTTATTAGTAACGTTACTGGATAACTGTGTGTTTGTTTCTTGCTAAAAATCTTTCCTTATCTGTCGTGTAAATTGATTGTTTTATTAATTTCAGGTATATATTTGTTACCAGGTTGCGCATAGCTCTGCCGGAGGCCCTAAGCAATAGTTGCAATCTTCGTTGTACAATATATTGTTTTATTTCACAAATATCAAATTGTAAACACAAATTATATTTTACCAAACCCTTGGTTCCCTTGTAAAAAAAATCGTATATTATATATTTCCAATATATTTTTCTATGTACAGATTTTTTGATGTTTTAATAATCTACATTTTGATTTTTTTGACATTTTAATTTTGTGTGTTAAATATTATGAAGCAGGTTGTTGAAATGGGAGTTTGTCCTGTTTATATGTATGTTATTTATAAATAAATAAGATGCCATTGAATAGAAGTTGTAACGCAATAATTCTCTGTGTAAAAGCTTTGCTTGAAACGGTTTACTTGAAATTCTTGTAAACGTCACAACATAATTTATTTCCAGTATTATTTAGTTGCGTTCGACACAGTAGTCTAATGTATATCAATCCGATGGTAACTGTAAAATAAATGTTCAATAAAATAATTATATTGGAGTTAATGAAATGCAAAAGCTATGTAAATAAGAACATTCCTCATTATAACTCGTGTAGTACATAATAAAAATATTATTCAAGTTACTGTTTCTTGTGTGTTTTATTTGTGTTACCTAAATTACTTCAAGGCGAAATATTTCTAAAGTCTGGTCGCCGAGCACGTAGAATTTCGTCCAATGACCCCAAGCTACCCATCCTTATCGCTCAAACACTCACTGCGGCCGCCCGTCGCACATTCGCGACAGCAATATAAATACGTGCCAGCGAAAAGGATGGGTAGCTTGGGGTCATTGGACGAAATTCTACGTGTTCGGCGACCGGACTTTAAGGACTTTGCTTGTATAGTAAGAACCTTAAGCTGTTATGTGGGAGAAAGCTCAACCACTGTTCAACCAATAATGTGGTCTGATCATCTGGCAACTGTTATTTATTTATTATCAGAAAATGTATGTTTACAGACAGGTCCAAAACACATACATATAATATAATTAATTTACATTTAGTTGCATGTCATAAATTAGGATTACCATGTCAAATCAAATACAAAAATAAAATACATTATCATTAATATGGTCATTAAATACAAGTCATAGCTCCAGAGACAGGCGTCCAAGGAAGAACATAATGTAAAACAGTCAAGTCGACACAAATCATTGCAGTCAGAAATNAACCGGCAGACAGTGGTGACTGAGTTTGTTGCGGCGCTTCTTCTCAGCACTTGCCAAATGTTTGTCTCGAAGCGCTGGTAGGGCAAAAAAAGAATGAGACATGTATAGGCTCCTTAAGAGCATTTGACGATTTGCAAGAACTAATTTAATTAGTCTAAACAAATAAAGATGATTTGATTTGATTTTGATTTTGACGTGCTCTCTCCTGTCACGGCTTATACTGAGCAGATGCCATTTTGGTGCGTGTACTCTGTTTTTTTACTGTTTATGTTGTTATTTATTTGTAATGCTTTTAATACTCGCATCAAATAAATACTATCTTTCTTCTCTTTACAGTACTGTAAGGAACCTCCCCCACCAGTTTTAACGCTCTTACAACTGCGTCTCGTCATCGCCCCACCCCTGATCATCACAATCGAAGTTCTTCTGTTCCTAGTCGGGGCCTACCTTGGCATCCACGGCTTCTATAGAACATGTAGGCCACAGTACACCTTCATTGAAGATGGAGACAAGAAGAAAAGCGTTGGGAATGTTGCGGTTTCCAATGTTGCTGAGAACGCAACATTTGAAGACGATGTTTTGGCAAAAGAAGCAGTGTCTTTATTATCAATCAGGGAAGAAGAGGACTTACCGAACCTTATTATTGATACGTGATGTGACAGCAAATAACGTGTTTATGTGACGGTTATAAAACTTTGAATCAAAAAATTGCAGTGCTCAAATATTTTTAATCGGGGTTTTAAAATTCTTTTTAAAAGGTGATTTCATCTTGCCAATTAGGTACGCGCTGTTTTGGTTAAAAATGCTTTATTATTAAGACATTGGTGTGGAGGGTTCAGATAAAAGATAATTTTGGGAAAATATTAGATATTAAAAATACGTTAATTTCGTTAGTGGATTTGTACAATATCGATCAATTTTGCATTTATTTGATAATATTTCGATCACCATGATTTAAAATTATTACGAAATTCATCAAAATTTAAGTTACCATTGTTTATTTATGAAAATAAGTAGTAATTGGGGAATATAATAAAAGAGGGGTTAAATGGTGTTATAAAAATAATTTTATGCGTTAAAACTAAGACTTCTTGATAATATTCTAAAATGTACTTATTAGTAAAGATAGAATAACGTGAGACTTATATTTTATTGACTATTGCCATGATAAGTTATTATTTTAGATTATTATAATGTAATGTAAAAAGATACTAGATCAAGGTAGACAAACATAATAATTGAGTAATCTTGGTGGCAATATTATTATAAGTCATACATAACTATTCCATTATAATTTTTATATTTTTGTATTTATTACTTTGTTTTACAGAAATTATCCGTAGAATCTTCAGTTGTATGAAGATAGTTAGGGGAAGGTATTTTTATTTAAGTACTTTGTAAATCAAAATTAAATGGCCACATAGTTTACAATACTGTAAACAAATGCAAGTGAATTCTTCCGTTCTTTATATTGATTGGTAGGTGATTCCAAGAAAACCGTAACAAATTCAAGCAGTGGCCTCAGTCCGAGGCTATGTGACCTGGCACCTAAATGACACAATATCAGTCCAAGTTCATCGAAATCGAAATGTATTTATTCTGTTGCATAATATTTGTTTACTTGTATGTGAAGATATTTTTAACACTCGTACGAGTCACAATTTTGTGTGCAAATGGTTACGTATTCGTAAGTTAATTTAATAATATAAAAATTATGTTGCTTAGAGCATTTAAAAAATATAAAAGATTAACGTTTGTCGCACTTTGTCATTGTAATTGTTGCGTTTTTACAACAAAAATTTATGGGAAATTAATAATTTTCTTCTTCTTTTTTGATGATGTTGGCAATACACGTCGAGGTCGACTTGATTTGTGCCATTTTCAAGTTTATAGGTGATACAAGTTACAAAATGAGATCAAGTAATGATAATATAATGAAGGATGATAGATGATACCCCTTCCCACCCTTTGAGTCTCAGTAAAGTTGTGGTGCTTTACTGAGATCTCCTATGGACAACTTGAGAGAACCAGAAGAATCACGATGCACTGTTTTGCTTCACTCGCCCACACTCATGCACGTTCACGAACACTTAATGGTTAATAATCCACCATTATTACACATTAATAGTCGCCCAAACACGAATTTGAGGAAATAAAACAAAACCGCTAACATGACGCTTCAGATTCCCGCCAAGAAGTCATTAATAATTTTGTAAATTCATTACAACATAATATGCACATTACTTCTTCCCCTAATATTTAGTGAGTAACTAATAATTTAAGGCAATGTGATATTAGACTTTTAGATTAATATTAATTGTTAGTGCTGTAAATAATTTGTAAATAAAAAACACTGGTGTCTGTTTTAGTTAGGATATTGACATGGAAATAAAAAATATTTTTATATAAACTGGTTTTATTCATCTTTAATTTAAGATAGGATCTGATTCTTTAAACATTTACATGTAATTTTGAGATTTGCGGAATCACTACCTTAAAAGTACAACTTAAAATATTTGTAATTTACAAGGTAAAACTAAATGTATCTCTAAAATACTCAACAAAAGTTAATTTATATGTAATTAATTCAATCACAGATCTTTGAGTGGTTATAAGAAAGTTTTTGAATATAAACAGAAAATCTTATTTGCAACTAAATACTGCCGAATTGAAATTATGTATAAGTTTTATAATAAGTTACTATATCAAGATAATTACAACTAAATAACAGACTAGACATTATATTTACAAATATGGTAAAGACATGGTTAATATAAATAGATAACCAAGGTAAATAAACATTTAACTATATTATTACCTAATACTAAAAAAGAAATTGTACTCCAATGGCAAATATTCAAATTATTTTTCGTTTTCACATCTCTGAAGTTATCCAATGTTTTTTTAAATGGCAAGTTTTTGAACATCAACAATGGAAATATTATTTCTTAAAAATATATTTAATTATTTTATTTCAGGTATTTAAACAGGTAAGTATTGGTAACTATGTTAAACTATTTTTTAAGCTGGTGTTTTATCACCTATAAGGTGACAATCAATACTTCTTTCAATGGTATCTAAAGGTGACATAATTAAACAGTTTTCCTACAGAATATTGCGTAATCTTCTCTGCCAATCAATATTTTCCAGGACTTACGTAAACGATAAAGCATTTACTAAAAGCTTAAATCTTGCTATGGCCGATCTTTATACTGTCACATTGATAACAAATCCTGATTAATTCATTCATGAATCTACAACATACCAATTGCCAATTTGAAAGTGTCCGTGACAGACTCTCTGCTCTACAAAAATGCTCTTGATACGCATTTGTCACTATTATCATATCATCCAGGTAGGCTTATTTGTATGTAGCGTACACATGGGTATAGATCCAAGACACATAATGCGCTACATTGGTGTACACGTCTGGCACTCCCCGCCTCGCACATCCAGACCCGAAGGAGGTCAGTCCTCGAAGCTCCCAGCGTCCTCTCGATCTGCACTGGAGAGGCCCTCCGCTGTCACCCTGAAAATAAATTAAAGAGCAACTCTTTCCATTAGGTTTCCTTAACCGGTTGGTGGATGAAAGTGGACTTATTCCTCGAAGTTCTACTAAGGGCTGAATTTACCATGATCGGTTCACTTTTAACTGAAGAATAAACCTTGTCTCTTTGTTATATTTGCCATACTGAAACTGTAATGTGCCAAAATTATTCTTCAGTTAAAAGATATCCGACGGTAAAATCAGCCCTAAAAGTTTTATACTGTTTTTGCAAGTATTTTCATATCTGTACCAATGTCCGTGGTCGCTAGGTACGTGGTACCAGTAGGAGTAGTCCTAATATTTATGTATGTATTTACAAAAATAGTAGTTGTATTCATATTCGCTGGGTGCGAAGTACTAGGTGGGGGGGACATAATCTATCGCAGCGCTCATGGTGGTCAAAAGTAGAAATAATGTTAGCTCTGTCATCAGATGTATCTGTCAATGGCAAAGCGATTCTACATAATACATTTTAATATCATTAATTAATCGCATGAAAAGGGTCCTACTGGGAACTTAAATAAAAGAGTGGACTGTATTTCGATAGGGCTGTTTTAATAGCCGTTTACAATTTGGAAATAACTAAACTATACAACGTGGTAGTACAAAAATGAGTCACAGTAGTTGTTGTGCACAGATGTTTGCCTTATGATGAGAGCGTGAATTATTGAACTCTGCCCTTGTTTTGTTCTTTATTCTTCTACATCTCGGACTTGTCCAGCCAATACCAACAACTTTCCTTTAAATACGGTTTGTGGTTGGAATTTGATATTGTAACTCTCACAAACCCGGTCTTCAAAACGATACTCATTTCGATCTGAAAACGATATTTAATTTATTACTAGCGATACAGAAACATTTAAATATATTTACTGTTATATAATGAAACCGTTAAAGTAGCTTTTTCTTTTTGTTTTACTGTAAAACTACAACTATAAATGAAGTAAACAAACCCTGACACAATCAAAATTAAACACACTTTTTGGACTTACCTCATTTGATTTGAATGACCAAAATGATTTCAAAACCTTTTTTCCACCCAAATCGTGGTATCACAACAATTTATTAGTTGAAAATATTTGTTATTTTTTCATTTCGATATTTTTTCACAAATATACGACCTAAATGTCAATGTGACAGAGCCCACAAAGTTGTGGACGCTAGTTGGCGCTGTAATCGTGCACGGAGCCAATAGGTACCTCCAGTTATCTGTATTACAAAAAATGAGATAATATAACTTACGTTACATACTTAACAGAAAATGAACTCATTACACAAATAAATTAATCGTCAAATTAATGATGAACTAAAAGGCTTTTAAAATAAATAAATGCTGTTAAATAATTCAGAATTTGCAGTAACTTTTTTCATAATAAGCATTATTAGCTAATCTAAAACGATAATGATAAAATATACGAGTATTTTACGTTACATCTAAGCATACTTGATCTTTTTATTTAATAAAATTTCAGTTTTTACGTTATGACATGCACACCGAAAGTTTAATTAATCGTACTATATTATTATCTAGACTAGCTCATTATTTAACCAGATGAGCTAACAAAATACTTGTTGAAAAGAAAATATTGAATTGAAAGTTCATAATTCATAAGCATAACACTAACAAACTGGATACTTGAATATAATGAAATATCGATTTATTTAGATCAATTTTAATCATAATATTAATTTTAAACCTTCATGATTGACATTTAATTTTGTAATGAGATCATTCAAGATTAGAAACTTCATCAATCAAAATCGGTATCGACTTATTTTAATTGTATTTGGATTAATTACAAATTATTATGACCAACTTTCTTCTTTGAGACTGTCATAATATTCCATTAGTTTCTTTTATTTGAATCCTATGTTAATTTTTATTGTTAGTTACTTTTCAATACTTACCACACAGGCTCCAGTGCTGCCATCTGTGCTACCAGCGCACAAATGCCCCTCATTCAAGGGTAAAGTTAAGGAATATCTATCCCTGCAAATTCTTAACGGAAGAACTGGCACTTCTGCTTCCAATAACACATCTGTCAAAGTCCCATTCGTCTGTTCTCTCCCCCAACCTGTAGCATAACACTCATCCTTAAAGTCTAAACCATTGCTATCATCGATAAACGGGTCTATTTCTTCACCAAACATTAACTTTTTGTCACTTCTATCATTCACATTCACTTTTGGAACGTCTTTGGCTAACTGATTCTTAATAAGTCTCACTACACTATCTAAAGTGGCACTGTCGTACACAATATCACTATTTTCATTGTCACTTCTGTATAGTTCTTCGTTTTTGTCGGATTCTTTCTTGCTGTCGTTGGCGACACGGACGTTGTACCGCAAGTTCTTGTGTTTTTTGGTGAAACCGGAGAATAAACTCTTGGTTAGATTCCCCAGTTTCTCCAAATACTTTACAGCAGTATCTGGGTTGGGTTTGGGTGGTTTGTGGGTCTTCTTCTTTACAGGTTCAGGACTGGTCTCGGGTCTCATGAAGAAAGCGGAGCCTTTCTCGTTATAGTTGGAGACGGGAGGCTCGAAGGGCGGGAGGCAGATGGTGCGGATCTTGCTGCCGGCGCTGACGTCAGCTGCTTTTGTCATCTTCATGAGTGCTGAAATAGATAAGATAATGCTTGATTACTGTCTGTGTAATGTATTTACAGACTGTTGAGAATTACAGGTATTCAAAGGAGCAATTATTCAAATACATTGTATGTTGATTAATATTATAAATATTCAGTAATTCCATAACCTTGATCATGATCTAATTAGAGATTCTAATTTCAATTATTGTAAGTTACTGCAACTTTTGAATATTTTCTTCAATGAAGATTGTCTATAATCATGTTTATTTTGTTCCTCTTTTCTTAGAGACTCTAATCCAATTCATACCGATGTCATGCTGGTAGTTGTGGAAGCGGTGATGGAGCACAATCCTCTCGATAGGTACGTAGGATCCCTTCTGTTCCGCGCGGTCCCACTCTCCCAGCACTGCTGTCCACAGGGCTGGCACTGGCAGGTTGAAGAGCTCACTGGAATTCAAAGTGGAGTGATTTAAATAAAGATGAGTGTGACTTCATAAGTGCCAAAATACTGTTCAAAATTGAATTTTTTTTTTGACTAAACAGTAAAAATATTTTCTAAATAAAATGTAATGTGGTTTCACGCTGTAAAGAAAGTTCATGATTAACAAACAAATACAGACAGTTTTTTTAAGTTTATCAGACAACTTTGGACCTTGACATAATATTCTCATTTTATCATCACCATCAGCACACTGCTGGTCTGGGTAAACTTCTCCCAAATACTCGCAATATTAGGGAGGTTTTTCGAATTCGGCTTTTTGCATCCAGTTTTTTCCACCAAAATTTCATGAGTCCTCACTCTAACACAGCTGGATAGCTTCCTACACAACGCTTGCAGTCTCAGCTCAAGAACTCTTCGTTAGTGATTGTTCTATTCAACATGCTATGCTAAGTTCTGTACAGAGGGTGCAATACTTATGGATGCAGTGTGCGGTGGTGAGCAACCAGAGCGGGTGCACCAGCACGCCTCCACACCAGTGCCCGATCAGCCCGTAGTTTGGGTGCAGGAGTTGTAGAGACACCTGGAAACAGACATTTAGATATCAGAGTTTTAAAGATTTTTATATTTCCTTCTTAGTATTTTTTATGCCGATCATCATCTTTATTTCAGTAATAGTTCACGCTAGACTAGACTTGACCCTATTTCAAGGAGAGATAATAATATAATGCATTAGGATCTCACGCTTCTTATCTGCAGCCTCTCCCAGCTATTTTTTAATTATTTTTTTCCGCAATTGCACCTGATGATAAGTGAGATGCAGTCAAGAGAGGTACATATTTCTACACTATCGCCTTGAAGAGGCCTGGATTAATAGTGTTCAAGAAACACACCATCTTCATAAGGTCGTCGGTTTATCGAGAGCGACTTCCTTCAATACGTTTGTTGCTGTTGTTTTCTTGATAGTTTTGTTGAAGCAACAATGATATTTTCCAATGGACCTACCTGCCAAGGCCAGGCCCCTCGCTTGGACTCGCGGCCCCTGATGATGCGCAGCTGGCCGGCCGACCTCTCTCGCGGCTGTCTCGTGTGCCGCCGGAGAGATACGCCACATTCTGAAACAGAAATAGTGGAGAAGTTACTGTTTGTTTTACAAAAGGCACGTTCACAATAATGACCAAATGAGGTTCACGAAAAAGGTTTTAACAAAGCGTTGGATGCAGATCGCAGGCGATAACAAACGGCTAATCTGAAAATCATTGGGGGAGGCCGATATTCAGCAGTTGAAGTCCTGGTGGCTGAAGTGATGTCGATAGTGATAAATAATGGCGCAGTCGTCGTCGTCGTCGTCGTCGTTTCAGCTGAAAGACGTCCACTGCTGGACAAAGGCCTCCCCCAAGGATTTCCACAATGGCGCAGTACTAAAATTAAAATTAATGCTACACATTTCGCAGCCCCTGTGAAATGTTTGGAGTGGGCAGCGAAGAACTGGTTATCGTGGAAATCCTTACGGAAAGACTTTTCAGCACTAGACATCTTTTAGGTGAAAATAACGAACAAAAATATTAATCCTGATCGTCGTAATAAAATACTAATCGTTAAAGTTAAATCATTGAGCATTCACGAAAAGCAATAAAACGTCAAATTATTAAGTAATACATACTTCTGAATAATTTTATTTGAAGTAAAATACATTGTAACATGTTGATGTACCTACATATAATCGAGCAGTCATGTATTATGTTGTTTCAAATAAACATAATATAAATGCGTGTTACTGGCCTTTTGCGGGTAATAATGTATATTACACTAATGAGAGCCTGTACACGCGATGTACTTACACTCCGGCTCAATAACAACTGCATATTATTTGTTTAACAAATGTAACGACAAATCGATTGTCGTTTTTATTAATGTTACAATAAATAAAAACCAAGTATAAATTGTCAGTACTATCGGTGACAGTGTTAACAAATTAACCTAATTTTAATGTTTGCTATTATTTTCATCAAATGGTGATTCTTTTTGATAGAACGAGACGACATGTCCACTTGTTACAAAAAATAAGTTATGTAATGTATTTTTCTGTTATGAAATAATACAGTTTTATTTACATTTTCAGTCCTTCGTCGATTAGTTAGACTGCCGATAGTGATTAAAATAAGGCTGAGCCATCTTCCTTTAATTTTAACAAACATCCTAAATCTGTCAAACTCTATATAAAAAAGATCGTTATAGTTATAGTTGAAGTTAGGTGGTGCAACTCAGCCTAACAATATCAACAGTTTATTATTCCGCAAGTCTACAACTCCAACTGTACTACACTCTATAATGATAATGTATGCAAAAAGCAGCAGTGATCCATCCATACACGTCAATTAACGTCAGCTAGAGCCCCAAACGCGCGTGACGGCTTTTTGCGGTGTCTGACATCCGCGGTGTCTGACATCCGCTATGTCTGGCATCCGCGTCGTGCCGGACGTCGGGGGCTTCAGGAACTGAAACGTTTACTTTGTAAAGTGAGGTTTGCTATGTGTGAATGATTACGAATAAAAAATCAGTCATAGAAACGTGTTTTTCAGTAGCGTTAACTGGTAATTATTACTATCATTAACTAGCTTTCCGCCCGTGGATTCGTCAGCGTGAAATTTTGTCTGTCACAGAAAAACTTTACCGCGCGCGTCCCTGTTCCAAAAACCGGGATAAAATCTATCCTGTGCCCTTTTCCGAGACTAAAACTATATCTATGCCGTTCATTAAAATCGCTTCAGTTTAGGCGTGAAAGCGACTCACAGAGAGACAGAGTAACTTTCGCATTTATGATATTAGTATTTGTTCTAAGTTCACTCGTGTATATTATTTTAACATTAATTACTGAATTTTAAGTTCGTGCCTAAGTATAATAAATTGTTAACAAATGTTTATTCAATTTTTTTAGTATTGAGCTTATACTTTGATAAGATAAGATAAGATACTTTGAGCATTTTCAATTCTTTTTTGTGAAATGAAATCTTGACAGCCAAAATCGTAATATACTTTTGTTTTGGTTACACGTAACTATTTATGTAACAGTTTATATTTATATTTTATTTGATAATCCTAGAACAGTTTTAAATATCAGGATAGATAATTGTAACTTCCGCAAAGGAGTCACGTGACGTGCTACTTTGTTAAGTAATGAAATACCAAACAGTTTACACGGCAAGTTATTAACAATCATGACGTCACAGCCGGTAAATATAGCATCTTCTGTCACGGGAATAGGTGCGATTTTGCAACAAAAAAAAATAATTTGAAGTGCTGAGCTGTCTTCAAAGAAAATAAATAGCAAGGAATTATTCAAGAAAACTTTTAACACGCTGCGCGCGCGGCGGTGGGCGGGGCTTGTGTCTATATTTGACGTTAAATTATTGGAACCACTTGTCAAGTGAAATGTAACGCTATATTAGCGTCCTTCCTCTTATGTTTATTGAAAAAATACTGGCAAAATGGTTAAAGCAAGCCTTAGAAGTCTTGTTATTCTGTTTTGGAACTTTTTTACTTGTTTAATTTTATTTGGTGAGAGAAAAGATGAAAACTAAAAAATACAATTATTACAGTAGAGCGATACAATGTATTCAAAGTATAAAAAAAAAGAACTCAGTTGACATTCTCTAGTTTTATACACAAAACCTTATCAGCAACTTATGCTGCCATTTAGCGTCTATTATTGAATTTAGATTTATTAAATTTAGATTTATATTATTCTAAAATCAGATCGACAATAGAATCCTACAATTGCTAAAGGTTTGGACTACAGGGGTTTGATTCTAACACATATGACTGACACATTCACTTAACAGTTACAAATTAAGTCACCTTTACATAACACTTTCAGACTGAATTCTTTACCGCAACCTTTATAGAGTCAATAGAGCAATTTCTCTGTTACTTTGTGTGCGCACGCGCCTTTTGTCGACTCATGAATATTGATGTATGTTGCAACAGTTGCGCAACACGAGGTTAGAATGACAACCACAATAAATGAAACATGTAGAGTACTAGTCGATATTTTTAAGGCATTAGAAGAACGTTGTATGACTGAGAAATGACGCATTACTATTCATCATCATCATCATTTCAACCACAGGACGTCCATTGCTTTCCAGATTGGCAGGTTAGTAACCCACAAGGTGGACAGATGACCTGTAAAGGTTGCTGAATGCAGGCATCTTATTAGTACCTAGTTATTTAAATTCAGTGACATTACTTGTGAACTATTTATTGCTTATTTTCTTCGTGTTAAAATAATGTCTGACTTTACGAGCCGGATGATGTTTCAATTGGGATGTTTATAACGTACCTTTCTAAATACAGGATCATCTCATTACTAATTCATATTATTCAAAGCGTAGAAAAATCCTAGACCTAAAATTGTTTTGTTTAAATAGCTAATAAAGATTATACATACCTAGTTGTCTTTACCTATGACTAATGCCCGATTTCACCATCAATCCCTAATTTTTAAGTGAACCCTATGAAAACAAAACAGTTACCTGTTATGTGTTACGGCTTACCATAGGGGTCACTTCAAAATTAAGGATTGATGGTGAAAACAAGCATAAGTATGCCTATACGTCTTACTGCATGGCACAGGAGTCACTTCAACTGTGGCGCACAGAATACATACAAAAATTGGGGTGGCTCAAATGTGAGTATTTCTATTGTATTTTTTCTTACTAAGTTACTTTATGCCGCTCACAAGCAATAGTCCGAAGCCACTACCTAGCCATAACTATACCATACATAAGTAATCATATTTTATTTCGTAAGTTCAACCCGAGCGCGATCGACATATTATTGCGTCACATCGATCCGCAGTGGAAGTGCACCATTATGGTGATGGGATGTTGATGAGGTGCATGTGCAACATTAGCTTTCGTCGGCGTTGATTCTGCTCGGGTTTGTCGGGTTCTGTCCAAGATATTATGCATAATGTCATGTTGAGTAAGAGGATCAGTGAAGTAGCAAATTACTTACAGGGCATTGTGCACTCCTAGATTGCATCTCACTTAACACCAGGTGCGATTGTGGTCAAATACCTGCCTTGTCCTGCATAAAAAATGATTTCCGGAATAGTTACTGTATATGATGTTGCTGCTTCTTACGTATTGCATCAAAAGACATGCCATGCCAGTTTCCTGCAGTGAGGGTGTAAGTAATTCTTGCTGATACCTATTTGGATTTTTTGTATTTCCGTGAGATTTGTAGAGTAGTAAATGTGCTTTGCAACCATCTTAGGTCACGCTTAACATTTCATTCCTTTTTATTAAAATTATATTCTCATTCTTATTTATTTCATTCTAAGAGTTAGATGGTGTCTTTTCTTTTCTTTTCTTTTCTTACTCTTCCATGCAAGGAAATCCATCTTTATATGACAGTAATCTATGCATTCTCGATTATAGCTACGAGTAGGTATGTTGTTTTCAGCGATAAATCCACTGTTTACCATAATAGCCCATTAATTTTCAAACAGAATTGTCCCCTCAGTAATTCATCACACTTCCACCTGTCATCCTAGCAATTACGAAAGCACCTTCCCTCCATAGTGCGTTATAATCAGAGACGTTTCGATAGGCCTTTGTTTTGTTACATTTGAGCCCAATGACTGGAGATTGGAACAAGAAGTTACAATTTAACGGCCTATCAAGTTACATTGATCGGTTTGAATGATTATCACGTTTTACATTGTTACTATGATCACACTAGACAGGGGTCGGCAAGCTTTTGTAAGAAGTCAATATGCAAAAAAAACCACGTCTTTATTCGCAATTAAGTTTTTACCGAAATGAAATATTATGTAGGTATTCCTTGGGAACTCTTCGAAACTTAAAATACCACGGAAACATACATTTAGTTGTGAAAGTTGCGTCAAAAACGGTTCAGGAAATGCAACGGGTAAACGGATAAAGCAGATTATAAAAAAACTTTGTAACATTTCATTTTTCTGCTTACAAGATTTGTGAACCATACTAGAGTTTAATCAAAACATGAAGGCTGAGTTGCACTAACTTATTTTAACCGTAATTATAATAATGACCGGTGTTTTTTGTATGAAGTTTGACAGATTTTTGTC